CAGGAAATAAGAATGGTAACTATAGTAAATTTAACATTCATTCATTGGTAATTCTACTATAAAGAGGTGTTTTCTTTTGGTAGCTCATTATTTGCCCACAGGTGGGATCCTAACAGGTGCTATCACCTCACGTCAGGGTGGGGACTCGGGAACAACAGCAATTAAGAAGTAGTTTCACGCTCCTCAAAACATCCAACCTCTCGAACTTGCCACCGAATGTAGTTTATCGTCATACCCAGGGCTGCCATATGCAGTATATAATACAACAATACTATTAATAAAAGATAACAAATCCTTTCAATAAATAATTTATATTACGAAATTTTATTTTGTTTCTATCAAACGTACCTATGCTTTGGTTTGGTTTATTTTATTTTACGACATCCCAACCTCAATGGGTTATTCAATGCCGACAAGATTTTTAGGATGAATTCGTATGAATAAAATATGTATTCTTTGTAAGAAATCAGTTTGTAGATCAGGTTTCATTGACGTATTTTTGTAAAGAGGGTTTTTGTCGAGAGTCTGGATTATGGTTTATTGCTGGTAATATTTTTTTAAATGTATTGCTGGTATTTTTACTATAAAATCTATTTTTATACCTTAATAGTATGCTATATTTATGCGTTAAAGTGCTCAATATCAGGGCTAGAGCGTATGCAAATATAAAAAGTGGACATTGGTGTCAACACCCAAAGGCGATAGTGTTCCATGCTAAACGCAATCGTCAGGTCATATATATATATATATATATATATATATATATATATATAATATTACACCGATGCAAGAGATCGATGTTTGAGCCAAATCTAAATTTCTCCATTTGTTCTTGTGTTATTTTTAAGTTGGGCTTAAGAAATAAAGAAAAAAAATTTACAGGTGCACAGCGAACCGCCTTCTGTCATTTTTAGTTCAAATAATATTTGATGCATAAAAAAGGATCCCCAATACAATAATATTTGAAATTCAACGCCCGTGATTTTAGCCAATAAAATTGATGAATATCCAATCAAAGTATGGTTGGGGTGGGTAGGAGCCACGCAGAATGTGTTAATACTAGAATCCATGCAGAAATCACTGAGTTGGTTTCATTAACATATGAAAACAACAGACGTATTTTTATCTCACTACGCTGTTCTCAGTACTTGTTTCTTCTGAATTCGAGAAGACATTGCATGAACTTTGATCAACTTATTATAGAATCTAATTTCTAATTTTTTCAAAGTGCTAAAATTAAATTACAACCCCGCGCCATCAGTTTCTTTCGAACTCAATAAACAGCGGCTAGTTACTTTCCTATTTAGTTTTTCGTCTTCTTGCAGACGAGAAATATTGACAGAACAACTGTTTAGTCAAACGTCTATTTCATACGAGGTCAGTTTTTTATTTCTATACTTACGCAATACACACACAGGTAATGAAAGTGATCCAGTTATCAAATATTTGCGAATCTTTTCTACACTTTTAATCTGCTTACTTATCCATTCCTAACACCTTAAAAGACACAACATAAATTCATGTTTATTAAATAAATTGTTGGTTATCATATGGTGATTTTGCAAGTGTATCTTAGATGTGGCACAAGGCCGAAAGTATGAGGCACCCAGTAAAGATCGAACTCACTACTCAGTCGTAACAAGACAAGCTTGCTAATCATTACACCGCCCCGAGGTGCCGCTGTTGGTTATCATATGACGGTGTTTTAATGTTAGGAATATACTTTTGCCATTAGGGAGAATATCATTTTTAGCTATCCATACTTTAGCTGTCCTTTCCCAGATATCCTTGTATACTTGTTTATTTGTAACCTTTTGCTCGTAAAATCGGACGAAAAATATAGCTATAACTAAGACATTATTTAAAAAGCGCTTTGTGAAATACATGTAAATAAAAAATAATTGTATTAAACTATATTAAGTCTACGCTCTGTGACTGAGTTAGGGTTAAATAAATTAATCTGGGAAGATCATAATCAATAACATTAGACGCGATAGTTAACACCAAAAGTTAAATTCTAAAAAAAAAAAAAAAAAAAGTGGGGAACCGAAACGCATAGATACACCTCTTCAAATGTTCACATTCACGTCAAAATGTTCTCATCTCGTCAGTGTTACAAGAAAAGCAACACAACAAATATTCAGTCTATAAATTACGTTGCAAATTACTTTTTTATTCCTTGTATTTCTTTCATCTTAATTTCTGACACTTTTTGTTGCAACTATCAGGACACCTTTCTACGATCTTTTGTAAGCAGCGTGGGTTGGAAATAAAAAAAATATAAACCTTTGGCGAGACTCGAACCAGCGTCCTTATTATTTGGGACCTGCTTTTCCGGGCTAGCTAATTTACCAAGTAGACTGCAAAAGCCAATCAACAGGAGCTAACCAAATCTAGCCTTATAATTATACTCCTAACGCCAATACACTGCCTTGTTTGTTTACACTAGTTATATGTGATGTAATATTAGAATTTATAATATGAAGCGTTGTCAGTTGTTGTTAATATTAATGTTTTTAGCAGCATATCAGCTTCTATAGGTAATGCCAAAATCTAAATATTGTGAACAGAGTTTTATGGCTTCAACTACTGTTGAAATGTATTGTTGGTTATTTTTCTATAAAATGTATTGGTAATTCTGATTTAAAAATATATTGCTGGTAATTTTGCTATAAATATATATCGTTAGTATTTTTATATAAAAATGTATTGCTAGTATTTTTACTATAAAAATGTACTGCCATACTTTCATAGTGTGATCCCAGTTTGGGGGGGGTCACTATTTGCCCATAGTTGGTACCCTAACAAGTGCCACTATTCCAGTTCAAGGTTAACCTGGGAACAACAGCAATTAAAAGGCGGTTTTACGCTCCTCAAAACCTCCAATCTCCCGATCAGAGCCATTGCTGCCGGATGTAGTTTATCGTCATATACAAAGGCTAATTATTATTATTATTATTATTATTGTGATTTGTTTTTGAAAGTGTCGACTACTTAACACAGGCAAAGATAACACTACAAGATTACTAATACAATAATGTTAGTGGACACTCAAGGTGATACCTTGAAACTCTTTGAATTTGCCTTGTACACATTACATTCGTATTTTACAGAAATTTCAAATTGATTCGTAAGACAATCAAAATATGTTACATATTCAAACATTCTGTGCATCTATAGTGATTCAAAAACCTTTTTCAAACAAGTCAAGCGTAGCTTATATTTAACTGATGTAATGGAATAACCTGTGACCCACTTGAGTAACTACACTATAGGTAGTAACAACCTATAAGTAGCTGTAAGTCAACGGACGACAGAGATTAGCTGGGATCTGTCACTCAGCTCTTAGCTGTTGTCGAACTCTGCCTTCGGGCAGAGAGGAATCTGGACGAGGCTATGCCGAAGGGCAGAGTCTCATCCGAGTAGGTAGACGCACCCGAACCAGTTGAGTACGACTCAGACTTACGCGAGAACTACCGACCTTCCAATAGTAGCACTCACTAGTGGATCGACTTGCGACGACCTTTTGCATACCTTTATTCTTATTGAATTGTTTTTTTACAAGCCTTTACTTATTTTATCCACCTTGTTTTCAAGTATATATTCCTATTCGCACGGAATATAACATTATCATATTACCACAAGCATACGACACTCAGTAAAGATCGAACTCATTAATAATGACCTAAAAGTCATAAACTTGAAGTGGAATCAACAATGGCCAAATTGAACAGAAACAAAGTAGCAGGACCAGACGGAATCGTAATAGGAGATTCTAGCAGCCTTAGATGGTCCTGGCATTGACAGAAATAGAAGTGGAGTTCTACAGAAGGATGCCGAGAAAACCAGGCACCGAACATGTGAGCAACGACAAAGTTCTAGAGACAACAGCAACAAAAAGGACACTTATACTTAACATCAAGAAAATACAGTTGAAATTTCTGGGGCATATAATGAGAAAAGAGGGCTTGGAAAATGTGATGCTCACAGGACAGACTGAAAGTAGGAGGGACAGGGGAAGGCAACGCACAATCTACTTGGCGAGTTTGAGCGAATGGATAGTGGAGCTTGGATAAGGAGAGATGACAAAAAGACAAGAGTTATTAAGAGATAAAAAGGACAGGGAATTGTAAGAAGCCATGATCGCCAACGTCCTGAAAGACACGAAATATAAAAATAGTAATTATTACACCACGAGCGAAAGTCACGATAATGTTTGTTATAGTGGAACACACCTATTCTATTGTTAATAGACTCTCCCACCTGTAATAAGTTGGAGTCGCTCAGTGGTTCAGTCAGTCGGTCGATGTCGACCGACTGATCGGTTGAACTCTCTGCCTTCGGGCGGGGAGGAACCCGAAGGAAGCTACGCCGAAGGGCGGATTCTCTTTCCGGGAGGTAAACCGACCCTGAACCCGTTTATACGGGTTCAATGGGCATATTTTTTGGCCGAGCCCACGTTAAAAAGGCCTTGTGCCACATGACGCCCTCGTGGTGGGGGGGACTGAATATCGTCAGTCGATGTCGGACGACCGGCTGATCGGTTGAACACTGCCTTCGGGCGGAGGAACCCGAACGAGGCTACGCCGAAAGGCGGAGTCTCGTTCGGGGAGGTAAACCGTCCCTGAACCCGTTTATACGGGTTCAATGGGCATATTTTGGGGCAGAGCCCACGGGCTCGGATATCCCACATTAAATAACCGACCTTGTGTCGCATGATGCCCTAATGAGGGGAGGAGGTGACTGAATATCGTCAGTCGATGCCGGACGGCCTTTAGTCGAATACTAAAGTATCAGCGACCGCAACTAGATTTCTCTGCGTCATTACCTATGATGTCAAGTTCCTAACGTTTTGTACGTCGAACCTATTTTAGGACCGACTTAGTACAAATACAAACCTCCACTGTGAAACCACTCGACAACAATGTTGATCTTTCAATCCCTCCTTAGATTTCAGACTAGCTTAGATCTCGCAAGTACAAGAAAAGTGATTTACTGACCTTTGTTATCCCACAAAATGAACGTAAGCTGGACTTTGTCGCCAACAAAAACGGCTTTCCTGAGCGGTTCTCCATCAGTATCCTTGATTTCAAATCCGATTGGATTGTAAGTGTTTTTTGTGTCAGTCTTGGTCAAATTAGCACTGGAAAAGAAAAAAATTAATGATTCCAAATGTTTTGTCTTCAATTAAAAGAATGTACCGCCAAAAATACGATAAAAACTGAAAAATTTTATCGTCAAAACCTTTGTTATTAAGATGAAAAAATTCTTTTTAATCCATTTTTAGAACCTGTCTATATTTCTGAGATGAGGTATTATGTACACTATTTACATTATTCGGACTATTGTCCTCATCTTTGCTGCCTTATTTATTACAACTTTTCGGCCGCTGTACGCTCCGGCCTTCTTCGGATAGTTGGAATGTCGAACTATACCCTTTATTTCGCTCACTGGGGTAGACTGTTCTAGTTCCACGTGCTATGTTTAATGGATCTCAGTTATCAGTTATCTTCTGTTAATTTCCCTCTGAAAGTTCTACCCTGCCTTAACCGGCAGAACTTGGAGAGGGGAAATAACAGGAGATAACTGACATCCATTAAACATAGCAGTGGAGGTTATTGTGTCTGGCCAGATCTAGTGTTAATTCATAGTGAGAAGCAACGTCTGTTGCTTGGCGAGACGACAGTGGCATTGGCAGAAGGGACTGAAGTTGCTCATGAAAATAACCTGCTTCGGTATGAGGAACTGGTGACTAAAGTCCGTGGGAAAGGATACGGCTGCATCCTGGTGCCGTTTGAGGTTTGCTGTAGAGGATTTCCTGCTACTTCCTTAAAGAGATTCCTCAAGTGTTCTGGTATCCAAAAGCCGATTAAGGTAATAAAGACTTCAGGCGAAAAAGCGGTGGAAGGCAGTGCATGAATTACCTAGAAATTCGTATAGAGTCGCGTCCAACTAACAACATAGACCGGTTGCTACGTAACATCATCCAGCTGTTGCGAGCCCACCGTGTCGACAGGTACTGAGCTTAAGGGGCCGAAACTTTTCTGAACCACAGCGCTCAGCTGAAGATTGCAGTTGGTCTGGGACACTTGATGTGTACATGTGTGTGTGTATATATATATATATATATATATATATATATTATAGTGAGACCCGGATATAAGAGAGATTTTCTCTGGTCCCAAATTAGAGCCTGTGTTAATGTATATAAAATAGACCAAACCCGGATATAAGAGACTTCTTCTCCGGTCCCGACAACTCTTATATCCGGGTTACACTGTATATATATATATATATATATATATATATATATATATATATATATATAGGAAAAGTATGAATCTATCTCTTCTCCACCAGCTATGTATTAAATAGCAGGGCATTGGTCCTGGAGCCTTGGTTGGCAACCAGTCTACTGCAGAAGGAAACGGCAACCAATTTCTAACGAATACACCGCCTCGGGGCGTCCCTGTGTGTCCCTCAATATATAATTATTACAGTTGAATGGAACTTTTGACCCATTCATATTAACAGTTTAATAAACTACTACTAGCAATAACGATCATCGTGCGGTTATCCAGTGTTAAAGTCAAAATATTTCAGAAAAGCATTCATACTGCCTCTTGGTAAATTTTATTCTATCAGATCAATTTTAGATAAACAGTTCCAAATAGTCATGCGATACTTGTTTCGTGAATCTCGCCTTTATTGTTTGTTCTCGCTTTTAGCCATTCATTAAGATTTGATTTGGTTTGGTTTGTTTTACGGCATATCAACCTCAATGGGTTATTTAATGCCGACAAAATTTTTTATTGATGGTAATATTTTGTTTTGTCAAAAATCTATTTCTGGTAATATTTTTCCTTCAAAAATCTATTTCTGGGATTATTTTTCCTTGAAGAAATCTATAGCTGGTCATATTTTTTCCAAAGACTGTATAGCTATTTGTATTGCTGGTATTTTTAAAGTATTGCTGATATGGAATATTGCTGCCATATATGGTCTGGAGCCCCTTCTGTTTGCCTCGGAGTTCTTGATAGGCTTCAGAGGCGGATATACAATATAATTGGCCCTTCTCTGGCATCTCGCCTACAGTCACTTTCTCACAGACGCGCCGTCGCCTCTCTCTGTCTGTTTTACAAATACTTTCATGGCAATTGCTCCGAGGAGCTGCATTCGCCGGTTCCCAGACTTCATGAGTTCAAGCGCCCTACGAGGCTGGCATCCCGATCTCACCCCTTCACTGTCGAAACTCTCGCCTGTGGAACTCCCTTCCCTATTCCAGTTTCCCTGAGAGCTATAATCTCCAGCTATTCAAATGTAATGTCAATCGACATCTCCAGTTGCCTTGATCTATCCACTACCCTTCTCCTCATCCTTTCTTCTATCACTCCTATCTGATCTTGCTCCAATTTTTCTGTAAGCCCTTGCGTTCTAGCGGCTTCCCGCCTTGCTTGGGGTGAAACGCTTAAAAAAATAAAAAAATAAATAAAAAAAATAATTTTTGAAGGAAAAATTATCAGCAAAAAATTTTTCCTTCAAAAATTATTGCTGGTAATAATTTTTTTTTATTACAAAGTATTTCTGGTATTGAAACCTATTTTTACACAAGTTTGAGTGTTAACTGTTTGCCCATAGCTAGGACCCTAACAGGTGCTACCACCCCGGGTCAGGGTGGACCTGGGAAAACCAGCAATTAAGACGTGGTTTCACGCTCCTCAAAACGTCTTGATTAGAGGCCTTGCTGCTGGATGTAGTTTATCGTCTTTCCCAGGACGCGGATGTAGTTTATCGTTCATTGAGATTTGAAACTAACTTTTATAATACTTACTCTTCAACGACGTTGGAAGTCATAGACATTGGATCGATCACCATTTGCAAATTATGTTGGCAACTGATTGTGTGCAGTTCGTCAAAGCTATTCATGATATCCTGGTTATAGAGCACGACGATTTCCCTCTTGAAAGAAACATCGCCAATCTAAAAAAGAAAGAAAAGAAAACAAAGAATTGTATAATAAAAATATGTATTTACCTACGTAAAATTATATAATCTGTCAAAGTAAACAGAATTATTGTCAAGTTGCTCAGTAGCACTATATATATATATATATATATATATATATATATATATATATATTCCCAAGAGGATAGAATCCAGGTAGAATTCAATGTGCAGGACAGAGTAAGAATATAATATAAAAGGCTCAAACACTAATATTCCATGGTTAGAATTTATTACATTGAATGTAATCACGATCCGATTCATCAAACCTCTGATGAATTGGATCTACGATTCCAATGTAATAAATTATAAACTATGGAATATTAGTGTTTGAGCTTTATTATATATATATATATATATATATATATATATATACACTCATAAGATTTCTATGAAGAATAAGAAACTATACTCGTTTGGAAAACCTTCGGTATATTGATTTGCAAATAAACAAGCCAACACCAAAGGGAAAAAAATGTCTAAAAAAAAAAGAAAGAATTAAGAACATGTACGTTAACCGACAATAAGCTTCCAGCATACGAGTTCAATGCCCAAAGAAAAAAAAACCGATGCTAGTGTCCAAAACAACTAAGTGCTCAATAAAATAAGTAGAGCAGACCTAGTTAAACCTAGAGAGCCAGACAAACCTACCAGCCTTCCCTGATGATCCGCTTAGGTGAAACCTTGGTAGGTTTGTCTGGCTCTTATATATATATATATATATATATATATATATATATATATATATAGCACGATGGAGTAATGGATAGCGGAATCGGAGAGCCGAGTTCGAATTCCACTCGAATCCATTACATTCACTTACGTGTTAATACTCTTGGGAAAGGTATTAATTGTCTTCTCCTCCCTCCAGCTATGAGTAAATAGCAAGACAGACTTGGTTCTATAGCCTTGGATGGCAAATAGTTTAGGAGAAGGACGCTCTGAATTCAAAACCTGCGGATGGTCGTTTGGTGACCTTGTGGTACGTAGTACACCAGGTCTCTGAATTCGGCCCTTCAAAAAGTGTAGATGGTTCTGCACAAAACCTTCACCCTTATAATCAAATCTCATATGCTGGTGTCGGACTGTCGGTTCCTAGGAACTTATCTGCTTGACCCTCATACGTCGAATTCGACGGAAGTGTCTAGTATATATATATATATATATATATATATATATATATATATACCAAGAAAGTTGATTCACTGTGTCGTGCGGGACATTTTTTTCTCTCCAGAATCTATCTTACATATCTATAAGTTTATCATTCATCCATGCTTAGAATGTTGCTGCCACGTATGGTCTGATATCTCTGCTATTTACCTTCAGCTCCTTCATAAAATCAGAGAAGAATCAGCAATATTATTGGTCCTAATCTGGCAGCTCGATTTCAATCACTTTCCCACTGTCTTAAGTTTGCCTCTGTGTCTTTTTGATAAATACTTTCGTGATAATTGTTTAGATGAGCATTTCTCCATGGTACCTAGACTTTTTGAATTTAAGCGCAATACCAGACTGGCGTCTAAATCTCATCAATCTATAGTTGAGCTGGCTAGATGCAACCGTAAATTCTATGTTAACAGTTTCTTTTCTCATACGTGGAACTCCCTTCCGGCTGCATGCTTTCCAGCCAACTTTAATCGGCAAAGATTTAAATGCAATGTCAATCGCTATCTACTGTCCTCCTGATTACTCTTTATTCTTCCCGATTATTAATGTTTCTGTTCCTAATTCTTCAACACACTGTAACCCGTTGTGCCTTAGTCGCTTTACTGCCTTGCATGGGGTGATATATATATATATATATATATATATATATATATATATATATATATATATATAGGTAAGAGAGAGAGCGTAATTAATGTTGTATAAAATATTGCAAGTTCAGTGTCCAGATAAAAATAATTATTCTGATCTGGATGCTGAAGTGCTAAGCAGAGTCGATGAGAGTTGTGTATTTTAAATATTTTTCATGCTATAATTATATACAATTTTGTAACAAAATACAGAGATAGAGCATATGTAAATATAGAAGTGGACACTGAGGTCAACAGCAAGCAGCAACAGCCTGTTTCATGATTGAACGCAATCTTCAGGCTAGGTGTCTTTAGACGACATTCAAGTATGAAACAGACTGTCGCCGTTCGGTGTTGACCAGTGTCCAGGATAGAGAGACGGTGCGTGGACTGAAGCAGAGAGACGGTGCGTGGACTGAAAGAGAGAGACGGTGCGTAGACTGAAAGAGAGAGACGGTGCGTAGACTGAAAGAGATAGGTAGATAGAAGTTGAGTTATCTGGAAGGTTATTATTAGGACAACACTATTAAATGTAAATGAGACTGCCATCAAATACAGTATTTTGAAATTAAATATTTTCCTAAATGTTATGTCCCTTCAGGAACAATGCGACGATTATGGCTGCCCACTTATTCATTTTATTTTTAAGATTTGTTAATTGCTATAACTTGAGAGTGGTTTCCCGTTGTCTTCTCCATGGTTTAGAATTCAGAATGTTTTTTTCTAAGACAGGCTAGAGATATTGCTACGCCATCTTTTTCGTTGCCTACTGCCTACTTAAGCATATTTTTTCCCTCTGGTCGCATGTAGCACATCACTGCGGATGTGCTGACCTTCTCTATTGTGTGGATGACAAAGGCACACTAATTTCACCATCCTATTCTTTCATGCTGGCATAGATTTAACCTCATATTTTTATCCCGAAGCCATTCCTATGGTTGGGTTTGGCCACAAGACAGTAGAGATTGGTAAGCAGTTTTTTTTTCTTTCTCTTAGATTTCTCTCCCGTGCTAACGAGTTCCATTTAACTGAAGATACATGCACAGAGTGAACTTGAATCTATTTTCCAAGCTGATAATCTTTATGACTTTCTAAACGTAACTTAGATGTGGCACAAGGTGAAAAATGTGGAGCATCTAGTGAAGATCAAACTCATTATTCAGTCGTAGTTGATTTAGCGAGACAAGCTTGTTAACCAATACATCATGTCGAGGTGACACAAATGATTTGCTAAACGTAGCTTTGGTATGGCACAAGGCGAAAGGTGTGGTGCGCCCAATGAGGATCAAACGTACTATTCAGTCGTAGTTGATCTAGCGAGACAAGCTTGCTAACCATTACACCAAGTGAAAAAGCCTCAAATGATTTTCTAAGCGTAGATTAGATGTGGCACAAGGCCGAAGATGTGGAGTACCCAGTGAATATAGAACTCACTACTCAGTCGTAATTGATCCAGCGATAAAAGCATCCTAGCCAATAAATATATCGCTGCGTCATGAGCTGAGTTTAATAATAGCGATCTACTAAGCGTAGCTTAGACGTGGTATAAGGCTTGGAGTTTAGAGCCCGAAGAGTCGTAACTGAACCAGTGAGACAAGCTTGTTAACCATTACACCACATCGAAGTGTCTAGACCCGAGTTTAGATGTAATGCAACGCCGAAAGTATGTGACACTCAGTGAGGATCAAATTCGCTATTCATTCGAGCGAGACAAGCTTGCTAACCATTAGACCACGTCGAAGTGCCCTGGTGGTTTTCTAAGTGTAGCTTAAATGTGGCACAAGGCCGAAAGTATGGAGCACCCAGTGAGGATCGAACTCGCTACTCTAGCGAGACAAGGTTGTTAACCATTACACCATGTCGAAGTGCCCAGCTGATAACCTTTACGCTATTCGTACATCCTCATTTTTTCATCATTTTATTATACTCCAACTCTTATTCCTCCTCGGTATCATTAAACTCTTCTGTGGCGTATAATTCCACAGCCTCACCAGTGTGTTGCAGCTGTGTTTTCCGTAGCAAATAGGTCTATACGAGGTAGAATTGCCAGCCGAACGTCTAATTTCGAATTCAGAGTTTCCCTTCTAAATTGGTTTCTAACCAAATCTAGAGAGCCTACTCTGACCGACTATTTAACCCATAGCTGGGGCGGAGTTGGAGAAATGGATCTTTCCACAAGAGTATTTGTGCAAAAATGACCGCAACGACCTCGATCGGAATTCGAACTCGCTACGCCGATGTCACTTTCGGCGCTGATGACCACGCATCCCATCTTAATATAAAAGTAGATAAATCAAGAGATGTTTTTTTTTTGTTACCTTTGGGATATCATTGAACACAGTCTGGCCTTCGATACCGGCACCACACCCTGAAAAATAGTCTAAATTTAACTCCCAAACGTCGCCCATATTGTTGAACGAACAATTAGGATTGTCTTCAAAATCCTTCACGAAGATCTTGCCGGTAAATTGTCCAAAGGGCGCGATCTTCACAGACATCTGAGAACTCTGGCAATCGACGGCAACTGTAAGAAACAAAAATATACATATATAAGTATAAAAAAAAAACAAAAAACTGTCAACATTTGTCATTATCTTCACTATTTACATTCGAACTATTGCCCTCATCTATTGTTCTAAACATGAGCAGTGAAACGAGAACAGTCTACCCCGTAGATTAAATAAAGAGTTCAGTTCGGAATTCCGTGTAGGTCACTCGGATCGATATACAACCGATGAAAGCTGGATTAATTGATTGGATTTGATTTTTACAGCTTATCAACCTTTACACTATTTACATTATTCGGACTATTGTCTTCATCTTTGTCGCCATATTTATTACAACGTTTCAGCCGTTGTACGCTCCGGCCTTCTTCAGGTGGTTGGAATGTCGAACTGGACCCTTTATTTCGCTCACTGGGGTAGACTGTTCTAGTTCCACGTGCCATGTTTTAATGGATGTCAGTTATCAGTTATCTCCTGTTAATTCCCCTCGCCAAGTTCTCCACCGTCTTAACTGGGTATTGAACTCACACTCTTTGGGTCCTGTCACTGGATCTAACTAACGCGTTTCTCCACTCTGTCATGTGTCCTGAAGAAGGCCGGAGCGTACAACGGCCGAAACGTTGTAATAACACTCTGAAATTTTTTTGCTGGAGCTTCCAGCGCGAATGCCAAGCAGTACAGAATGCAGTTTTAAAATTTCTCGGGAGTGAATTGCGTCATGATGCTCTTTTTCTCACAGTGCCCAACTGACCCTACTATACCGTACAGTCGACAAAAATCAAAAAATAAACAACGCGCATGCGCAAAATTAAAAATATAAAATGGCGGCAATTTGCCCATCGCACACTTATATAACAAAATTCCAGTTGAGTTCGTTACATTTATTTATGCGCAAATACCCTTGGGAAACACTGAATCCACCATTTTGTCTCCCCCTAGCAATGGGTTAAACTGTAGAGTAGGCTTCTCTTTAGCCTTGGCTGGAAGCCAGTCTAGGAGTAGGACAACTCATAATTCAAAACCTGAGAATGTTCATTTGAAAACCTTGTGGTATACCATGTGTAACATTTCTCTGTATTCGGTTCTTCAAAAATTGTGGCTTTTTTTCTGCACAGGCCTTCACTACTATATTGAAATCATGTGCGCGCATATTCTGGCTTTCTCGTTGTAATGAACCAAGTTACCGGATTCTCATAGCCGAAAACAACAGAAAAGTCCAATATTACAAAGTCACGAATAAGATATCCTTCGTGTCAAAAGTGTAAATTTTAATTTCATTTTTCGTTTCACCTTTTGAAAGTGATGTATGAGGATCCAGGGGAAATTAAAAGTCCCTGATGAAATAAACTATTACAATGGAGCCTTAAAGTGGTCTGTTTTTCTTTAAATTATCAGCTCTGAATCAACATTGAGCTCTCAGGATTTCATCCTCCTTGGGATTATCCATACGGATTACCAAGATTTTCGTTACTTTTATATATAATAAAAAGAAAGAACAGTAAGATATATAATCCGGTGTCCTTATAGATATTTTTATTTTTACAAAATAGTGCTCAATGTAAATTTACAGAGCATTAATATTATAAATTAATTGATTTAAAATATTTTTTTTCGATACACAGTTCTAACCATGTTTCAAAAATGGAAGCTAAAAGCTTCTAATTTAATTTTGTAATTAAATTATAGGCATTAGTTCCATTTCATTCTCAAGCGAATTAATTTATAAGATTTGAAATTTCTAGCGCACATAAAGAAAGATGGTTTGGAAAGTTTAATACTCACAACACAGATTGTAAGCAAGAGGGACAAAGGAAAATAACGTGTAACATAGCGAGCTTGAGTAAATGGTAAACAGATCAAGGTTTAGGAGAGATAACAAAAAAATTTATTAAGAGCTACAAAGAACAGGAAATTGTGGAGAGCCGTGATCTTCAACATCCTGAAGGGACATATACATCATGATGTTGGCTTGGGAAAGGAGTACTGAGAGTCATCTTTCATAAACTTAAAAAAGGTCCTATTAAATAAATTGAATTTATTATAGCAATAATTACACAATTTTTTCAATGGTTAATTGAATAATAAAGAAAACGTTAAAAATACAAGTCACACCTTTATAAAAAAAACTTGTATTTATTTAATTCGTCCGTATAATGGCAAATATATTTTCTTACCTCTTGAACTTTCGCATCTTTCTCCATAGAAACCAGGTGTACAATAACAGGAGAACGTCTCATTGGATGTAACACAAGTTCCACCATTTTCACACTTCAGTCCTCCACAATTTGGACTCGGGGAAATGCTTGCTACAATTTGAAAAGAAAAATTTTCTTTTTAAAAAGATTTTATGCTAAACATAAAACCTCACAATATTTTTAGTGGGGAACAAAAGCTTGTTTGTCTTATATTCAAAACTGATAGAAGCGAAGAACGAATTAAAAAATAGAAAAATTATATATCAATATTTTTACGCATAGTGTACGTTTTTCAATGGGTTTCAACTGGCTAAACGTGTGTTGATATCTTCTGTCTCTTGTTTAGGATTGGGTTTCCAGGTTCTAAACACTCCTCCACAATGTTTTGAACAGGAGTATAGGTCTATCCTTTGTTTCCTGCTTAGGATTTGGTTTCCGGTCCCCGCTAAAGTTTTCTCATTCTCTTTCACTACCAGCAGCTCCTTGCGTATTAGTGGCATTTTCGCCTTGCTTGGGGTGAATTGAATAAAACATTTTCAACGCGATTTAAAAATCCTTTTAAAAAGGTACTAATGTTTGGGTAGAGATTTGGGATAATAATTTTTTAGTATCCATTCATATGTATCAGGCTGTAGACACGTGTGAATGTGTGGGAAAATAAGTTCATGAAGTTTAATCATGAATCTAAAAAGAGACATGATTGCCAAGCTTGCATTACGCATGGCACCTATTGAAGGGTTTGAATATGTAATAATTCTGGGGGGATCACCTTATTACTTAATGACAATAGGAAACTGAT